GTAGCTCATCAGAACAGGTCAGGAAAAGAAGCACTACATTTGAAAGAAAAAAACCCAGAATTTTAATGCGTAAGAAATGGTTAGTAGTATATAATGTTAGCACCTGTCCACACCATGTTCCAATTCAAAAACAGCTTGACTAAAAAAGTCTAGACTTACCAGGCACAGAATTCATAAGAAAAATAAAGCATAACATAAGTGCTACAAATTTGGATTTATATTTTACTATCATTTGATTTTGCTTACATTAACAAATATCAAGAACATATTCCTTTGATAAAGTATTTACTCTGTACTGCAGTGCTCTACCAACTAACTACTGCTGCATATTGTCCAACTGAGATGAAAGAATTTGTGTAGGAATCCTGGACAAGCTCCATCAAAATGAAGCAAGTTGCACTGCATGGTAGATTTACTTTCCAGCAGGTTTCACTAGGCACACCTATTAGGAAACAACATGACTAATAGAATATAAGCACTCTCTCACTTAAATATTTTTTAAGAGCAGCACTGATATTCAGTTACTTTCCATATTTTAAGATCAGAAGGCAGTTTAAAAGAACCAATGAACAAAGGAATATAATTTTTCAATAAATAATGATTTAATTTGGTTGTATTCACTGTTCAATTTGTGGAAAACAGAATGCTGGAATATGCAGAATCTGTAGATACTGAAATTAAATAGGCCTAGCACATCCTTTGATGATCATTTACATCAACAAAGCACTATACTTGGAAGTTGTCAAGAAAGGGAAGGAAGCAGCACCATTTTCACTACACTTGAGAACAATGGATCACATATTTCACACATACCCCTCTGAAGAAACGGTATGAAGCTGAAAACCTCAACATTTTTCAAGTTCTTCTATGCTACAGCATAGGGAGCTGAAGCTAGTCTTTAAGCAGAACAGTGCTATGGTTCACCATGTCAGCAAAACTTTCTATAAAGGAGATGTCAATGAAGTGGTTTAGGCTGAAATCCTATGGTTCCTGGGAGGTACCATGATTCTTCCTCTCAATCCATGAAGTGGAAGGCCAAGCTTCACATGCCTCCTTTTTGTGTGCCAGAATTGCTTTGTAACAGCAAAACAGAGGGTGTGGTTCCACACTCAACCAACTTGAATCTAGCAATCAAAAGCCCTTCCAATTCTCCCAGAACACCCTGCCTTGGTACAGGCAAGACAGTACTTTCTAGTTGGCAGCTTCCCCAATATTCATTCCTCCACTGCCACCCCTCTGTTCTTAGGCATGAAGCTTGATTGCTTGTAAATTTCAAACATGATAATTGAGTGGCCCACAGAGACAGATGTTATCTAGTTCAAATGACCCCAGGATTACAAACAAGTTCCATTCCTGAGAAAACAGAAATTCATGTTTAAGTTGAATTAGTATCTAAGTCATACCATGTATAGTCACCCCTCCACATTTGTGTGGGGTAAGGGCCCAGGGTATCCATGAAAGTGGAAAAATCACCAGTATCTCCTCCACCACAACCACCCAGTCCAAACTCATCAGTGACTCCTCATTGCAGCAGCGAAATGCCAGAAAGATTTCCCTCTCTGGATGAGCAGGGCAGGAAAGCATGCTTTGGAGGCCCCCCTCTTGACCCTTTCACTTCCCCTCTCTCTCTATGGTGATGGCAATTTTCCACAGTAATTTTAAAATTTAATAGGCTTTATGGCAGTTTGCTCATAAGTACAGGTTGTTCATAATTCAGGCATAACTTGTAACTCAGCAACTGCCTATGCATTGTTTTACAATGTTAACAATTAAATGCTATCGTCAACAAAACAGATAAGCATATATCTGCTTGAAACTGGAGTTATTTCAGGACATGAACACAGTCCCTGTAAAATTGGAGGAATTAAGGATGCAGGCCTATCCATACTTAACTGAATATGATTATAACTTGCACAAAACATAGGACTTACTTCAAAGTAAACATCGACAGGTTTGTGCTGTAAGGAGTATCTATTATTAAATGCAAAGCTTTTACATATAATAATGAAAACAGTAAGAAGATGTAAACCAAGATGAGCTAAAACAGGATTTCTGAAAATATTAACAAGAATATTTCTCATCTTAAAGGTTTACATCAAAATGCTCTAGTTTGCCTCCAGTTTGAAACTCTTCCCACAAATGAAGCATTCCCTGGAACCAGGGTCTAATCCAATTTACCATAAGATAAATTATCCCTTGTTGTCAAGGTGATTTCATGGTAGCATTCTGGGGAAAGGCAGATTAAATGTAACCCCAACCAAAATGAAGTACATTTCAGAATGTTTATTTCTACCAGAGGTAATTAGATCTGAATTTACCAAAATTGCCATTCATCAGTTTGCAATCACTGTTAGTTTAGACAACCCCATTTTCCCCACAGTCACTAAAAGCTATAATGCAAACATGGCCCCACAAAGACCAAATAAGAGCTCTGCCATGACAGCACAAACATTATGCTAAAATATTCATCATAACCAATTAGTATTCATAGCTAGAGAACAATAAGAAAACTTTTTTTAAAACTCTATCATTTTTCCAGGAAGAGGATAGATCAGACAATAATGATTAAGCACACAATGGCAGGAGCAGTGTTTGCCTTCTCAACCATTTCAAACTAAGCCAATTTAGATACTGTTTTCACCATAAGGATCAACATTCCTGTAGTGAATTTTCTGTGAATTCACACCATCAATCAGGCCATCATAAGGGAAGTTTGCTTGCCTGTACAGCATATCAACAGTGGTCACCAATAATGATAGAGAACATGCCAAACAATGGCCCCAGTTCCTATGGTCAGGTTGGTGGGAGATAATCATCACAGAGATAATGATCTCTTCCAAGTGAGAATGAATGAAGGAGAAGAGAGAAAAGCAGTGGGAAACAGTGAGGGGAGGGCAGTGTGTCTTTTTAAAAAAGCAACACTCCCAAGTTACAACAAAAAAAGCTCCTTATCAGGTAAAACACAACACTCTTTTCCCATGGATGGAACATGTCTAAAATTCATTCCTAGAACACTAAACACAAACAACCCTGTTTATAAATGGTACCAAAACATATGTAATCAGAAATTTCCCACATCAGCTTTAGGCTTTATCCAAATATGAAGAGTTTTTGCTTACTATTTATAATGATTTCTGCTGTCAAAGAGATAAGCAGCTTGTTAAACTGACAATGACTTCTCTTTTCAGCAATGAAAAAGACTCTGGCCAAAACAAGCTTCAGTGTGTACACGCTGTCTTTTATTATGTGCAAGTACACTACTTTTCTTGGGTTCCCAGCCAGGTACAATAGGCAACGAAAGGTAGTATATCTGAACTTCGTTTTGGTTTGCTCTTTTTAAAAACAAATTACTATGGCTTCTTATGAGGGAATGACCTAACTAAAAGTCTCCTGCAGTCTGTTGGTATTTTTTAAGCTTGGAAAATAAGTTTCCCATTATAAACACGCTGCATTGCAAATGCATCTGATACATTAAAATGTATTTTGTCCAGATAGAAAATAGAACACCCAAATTATTTCTCTGATCTGAGTCATTAACAAAGAATCACATTCACTTGCATTGATTAAAAATGCATTGGTAGGTATAGTTATTGCATTCTTGAATGAAGATTAGAAAGGCAAACAGTTTTCCACTCTAACTTCAACATGAAATAAATACATAAATAAATAACCTGTCAATGAACTACAGCCACTTGGAAGAGCTCTACTGCCCTCTGGTGAGCCAATTAAAAGCATTTTGGTCAATGAATATTCAAACACAGGCTACTATTAGTAAGATCATATTTCTTGTCAATGCTTTCCTGGGCTAGATCCAATTACCATAAAAGAGGAAATCAGCATAGCAGAATTAGAGAGTAAGGCAAAAATATTTAATCATCCTTGAAGTCAAGTTTTTATGTGCTCTTGGAAATAATTAAATCAGATAATTCCCTTTTTTTCATAAAAGGTTTTCACAGATATTGTAGCTGATTCTATAAGTTTAGTAAGATTCAAGTTGCAATATACACATAATATTATCAGTATTTGCAAACAATGTAAAAGTTTTCTAAATACGGATTTAACATTCATCCTTAAGAAAGGGCAGTGCAACCCGTCAAAATCTGTAGCTGCCACTAACACTACCTTCCAGGGGATCATGGTTAAGGTATCATATCAAGCAGACTCAAAGCCAGGAAACAGGAGCACTCCAGCAACAGTCTTCAAAAGCCTCAGAAAGCAGCAGCCTGTTCACTGCTTTTCACATCCAATTTGGTACAAGTCCTGGAGGAAGAGAAAAACCTCTCTAGGCTTTACACTGTAACTTGGCAGGCTGGAAACTGGTAAGCTGTCTTGCACCTTTCAGAGCCCTATGTGCTCAGCAGTAGCAATCCATCAAGCACATTTCCAGACTCCTGTGTAATTTTTTCATTGATATACATCTAAAACAAGGAACTCTGTGAAGTGAAACTCAGCCTTCTCCAACCTGGCACCCTCCAGAAGTGCTAGGTTACAGCTCCCAGCATTTCAAGCAAGCATGACCATCACCCATGCTTGTTGAAGATGATGGGAATTTTAAGTAAACATAACTCGAGGGCATGAAGTTTGGAAAAGCTGTGCTGATTATCCACTTAACTGAAGCCAAATCTATGAGTTGGACTCCAGAAATTCATGAGTTGGATCTACCCTGTTAATAAGTTGTACAGAGAATATTCTTAAGATAACCAAACTACCATGAAGGAGGAACACACAGGGTATGGTTTATTGTGCAGGTTGTTGCTATTATATTTTGTAAGCCACCCAGAGAGTCATCCTGACTAATGGGTGGGGTAGAAATTTAATACACACACACACAAAAGACCTTGATAGAATCCATCTCATTTGGCAGAACAAATGAGCTCTAAACCTCAAGGTCTATTTAAGCCTGTTGTTTACATCTGATGCTTGGACACTGATTCAAGCCTGACCATCTGCAGCATTTCAGCAATGATTTTATGAAAAGGATGTGACAGAAGATATCTTACCTTTGAATCTTCATTGGTCACACCAAGTTCTAATACAGCTTGAGGAGATTTCTGTTTTGCTTGGGTAGATTGAGCCATCTGAAGGTTAAGCTGCCATCCAACTGTCTCAAGCTAGGAAACACAATTAGGTAAGGCAAAGAAAAAAATTAATTTTCAGTGCTATTTTGGAAAGGGGGCCAGTGACCACTTAACAACTAAGGGACTGTGGAAGAAACACAATTTCTCCAGGCCATATCTATCCTTTCTTACCCTCAAGTCTGACTTGCTTTTACAGCAATCTTGGTAAATAATTGATATTACTTCTTCTAGGACAATCACATCAGTCACCAGGATGAATGACAACTATGCTGAAAGTATGCTAATATAACTGAAAGGTATAAAACCATTTTTTATTAATTCCCAAAGATATTCTTTTGCCGAAGTGTCAAAAGAACAGCCTGTGCTGAAGATATTATGTAAAATCACTTCCTCCTTAAATCAGCTCTGTAAATCATTAAATCATTAAATGTGTTACTTATCAAATACTAATAACAAAATTAAATGCACACAGCTCAGGCTTTTCAGGCTTTTCCTGGTTTTGCAGGGTTAATTGATGCAGGTCGAGAGTTTATCTTGCTTGACTGTCAGGGTCGGGGCTGGGATGTGGGCAGCCAAAGACAAAAGCAACAGAGGTACCAAGACCAGGGCAACAGAACTTCAGGGTTTAATGGAATGTCCAAATCACAGGCAAGGTACATATGTCTTATTTCCATTTAATATTATAAAGTTAGAATAGAGCTGTTGATTTTATGGATGAGAATGACCAAAACAGAAACAGTGGGCATGGGTGTATGAGCTGAACATTCTGAATCCCTATTAGAATAGTCAGACTGATTGTGTGGCTCCAGTGGGTACAAGGCAACTCTTTCCCTTCTCCATGCTATAATTTGTATAGCTGCTACCTATATTTTCCTATGTGACCTAATCTCTTATAAATGGTTGGGTACTATAACAGAGCCTAAATAAATGGCAAGCAGGTCCCAATGGCCATAGAATTATTCCACAATTTGATTTTTATACAATATTTGAAGGCCAAGTTATTTATAAACATTCTCCTCCATATTTCACATTTGTTTGAATATGTGGCTTCCACTGGGGAAAACCAAACAAGATCACTACATGGCATGACAATTTATATCCATACATTAAAATGGTATGTAAAGCCTCAAGCAGGAATCATTTATATTTAAAACATTTGAGGTAGAAATAATGAATATATATTTTAATGCTGAATTTACACTTTTTAGTGAGAGATTATCAATGCTCCTTTAGTGCATCTGCTGGTTGGGAAATAAAGCCTGCTGTCTCACTGGAGTTAGAAACCTGTTTAGGAATATAATAGTCTCCTATGTGAATAAGGAGAGAACAGATGGAATGGTCAATTTTTTATGCAGGTAATTATTTTCCACTATGGTTTTAGTGACCTCAAAAGCTGTTGCGTTCCAGACCCAGAGCTGCCAAAGGGACATTCCATGTATTGTAACTGAACACTCTATATGCTACAATAGACTTCTGCTGCCTGAGTACTTCAGAACTCACAGTGATATTCCCAAAAGCATCAATAATCAACAACTAGGAAGCTGCCTTATATGAGCAGTCCATCTAGCCCACTAATGTCTGCTTTGAGCATTCCATGGTTGTAAGCAGGCAAACCCCCCAGTCATACCCAGAGTTGCCAGGGCTTTGCATGCAAGGTCATACTCTACTACATTCCCCCAGCTCTTCCCCATATTTCTTCAAGCAAGCTAAGTACAAATGTACATCCATAAAATCTGCTCCCTTTCACAGCAGGAAGTCATTCTAGCCTCTTCCTAATAATAATTGAATCCTTTCACATGGCATAAACTAGGGGTCTCTAATGTGGTATCAGCAGGCATTTCTTTTTGTTTTGTCCCTTTTTAATATATGTACATCTGTATGAAAGGCAGCCAACTTCCAAGCACTGGTACACAGAAGTCACCAAATGTGGACCAAATATGAAAGAATCCATTTGAAGGTGGCATTTCAACGACATCTGTTCATATCAAAAGCACAATAACATCCTCAGTCTATTACATTACAGAAGGTGATTGTCTGTTTACCCTCCCATTTTTGTAATATCAGTCTTTTAGTTGTCAAAAGGGTGTGGAGAACCCATTTTCCCTTCCATTTGTTCATTCACATGATGTGGGTAATTTTAAACAGCATTACACCAGTGAATATTAAAGACTGCTGCAATATGAAATTTCATTCACATATTAACCACTTCCCAAAAAGAAGCAAAAACCGGGCATTGCCAAAACTTATGTTTAAAAGAAGATGAGCTGCATTGCATCCACAAAAATTATCATAGAATCATAGAATAGTAGAGTTGGAAGGGGCCAAGCAGGCTATCAGGTCCAACCCTCTGCTGGTGCAGGACACAGAGCTGCACCACACCAGTCAAATGACTGTCCAGTTTCATCTTGAATGCCTCTGGTGTGGGAAAGCTATGACCTCTCTAGGCAACTGGTTCCATTGTCATATTGCTCTGATGTTTTTCTGATGTCCAGTCTGAATCTGGTTGCAACCTATAATCTATATAGGATATACTGGGAGGAAGAGGCCCGTTGCAGAAGGATTCTTCACAAGGCTAAGGCTGACTACAAGCTGAGACTTGCCAAGAATATCAAGAGCAACAAAAAGGGCTTCTATCAGCATGTAAATAGGAAGAGGAAGGGGAGACAAGTGGTGGGACCACTAAATTAGGAGGAAGGAGATCCAGTGACTGATACGAGGGAACAGGCACAGATGCTAAATGTCCTGCCTAACAACTCGGAGGAGCCATTAGCATGCGAAATAGGGCCAGGAGCCCCCAGCGAGAATCAGGCTTTAGAGCAGGAAGATTTATACTTGGTGCCCATGGCACAAACACCCCCACCCTGCCACCTGACTCTGAAGTTTTTGAGCAAGTTCCTGGAGATCAGGCTGGGCAGTTGGTTGCCGTGGAGAGTGCCCAGCTGAGGAGGAGACTTCGACGCTTAGACCAATTAGAAGAGAGACATAGCGAAAGAAGGAGAGAGAGAAGCTTATCCAGCCCTCAAAGGGAGGGATGAGGAGACTGAGATCCACGTAGCAAATCTCAGAGGTCAGAAAGGAGGGGGCAACTGTGTTGCTTAATGCTATCTACGGTAGCCCCTACACTATCTGTCATTCAGATAAATCTTGTAGTCATTTGGAATAAAGGACTCTAGCTTTTATTGCCTGCATCTGTGTGAGTAATTGGTACAGGAGTTACAGCCTCACGACACTAAATGACTATTTTGCCTCTGTGTTCTCCCCAAAGCATAGATTAGATGAGGCCGGGGACTTAGGGGCACAGATTAGAGTCACCCCCCTTGAAGTCAAGGGATTCCTCAGGGCATTGAACATTACAAAGGCACCAGGCCCTGACGGGTTACACCTGAGAGTACTTAGGAGAGTTGGCAGGGGTTCTCTCACACCTGTTGGCCTCCATTTTTGAGGCCTCATGGAGAACGGGTGAAATTCCAGAGGACTGGAGGGTGGCATCAGTGGTCAAAATTTTCAAAAAGGGTAGTAGAAGGGACATGGGGAATTACAGACCAGTTAGCCTTATGTCCATTGTAGGAAAAACAGTGGAAAGGCTCATAATAGAGATCTAGTGATGCTAGATAGGGAAGGGAGGCTGGTGGCCACACAACACGGCTTCCGCAGAAACAGGTCCTGCCAGACAAACCTTGTGGAATTCTACGACAGGGTTTCGAGATGGCTAGATGGAGGAGATGCAGTGGATGTGGTTTATCTGGATTTCAGCAAGGCCTTTGACGAAGTGCCCCATGATATCCTGGTTGAGAAGCTGAGGAGTTTTGGGATAGACCAAAGCACTGTCCGGTGGATTAGGGCAAGGTTGACTGACCGAAAGCAGAGGGTAACCATTAGTGGGGAATCATCGGGATGGTGGCCAGTGACAAATGGGGTCCCCCAGGGCTCTGTCCTGGGGCTGATCCTGTTTAATCTTTTCATCAGTGACATAGAAGAAGGGGTCAACAGTCTGCTGATCAAATTCACAGATGATACTAAACCTGGGGCAGTGGCCACAGCTGAGGAGCAGGTACTCCAGATCCAAAAGGATCTGGACAGACTATGGAAATGGGTAGGAGACAACAGGATAGCATTCAATGTGGTTAAGCGCAACGTCTTGCACTTGGAGCATAGAAATGGTTGTCATAAGTACAGGTTAGGGGACAAGTGGCTGGAGAGCAGCACTTGTGAAAGGGACCTCGGAGTACTGGTTGACTGCAAGCTAAACATGAGTCAGCAGTGTGATGCGGTGGTCAAGAGGGCGAACGCCACCCTTGGTTGCATAGCCAGAAGTGTGGCTTCTAGATCGAGAGAGGTATTACTACTACTCTGGTGTGCCCGCAACTGGGCCCCTAATTACAGGAAGTATATAGCCAGGTTAGAGTCAGTGCAGCATAGGGCCACAAGGTTGGTGGCCGGTTTGCAGGAGATGCTGTATGAGGCGAGACTGAGGGAACTGGGTCTCTTCAGCCTGGAGAAGAGGAGACTCAGATGGGATCTGTTGACAACATACAGGTATGTGAGGGGATGTCACATGGAGGTGGGTAGAGACCTGTTCTCCCCTAGAGGAAGGCAGGACGCGCTCCAAAGGGAACCAAGTTTCCATTTAGGTGCCAGGAAGCACTTCCTGACAGTCAGGACCTCAAGGGTATGGAATGGGCTTCCACAGGAGGTGGTCGAGGCCCCATCAGTGAGGGTGTTCAACATGGTGGGCATGTCGTGAGCAGAACAGGCTGGAGCTGGGGGCCAGACTAGATGGCCCGGGAGGCCCCTTCTGACTCGCTCTGCTTCTATGTTTCAATGTTTAACCTGAGTTCATTTTTCTGTGTCCTACACTATGGGATGAATGAGAAGAGATCCTGTCCTTCCTCTTTGTGACAGCCTTTCAGGTACTTGTAGAGAGCTGTCATATCCCCATTCAGTCTTCTCTTATTGAGGCTAAACATGCCCAGTTCCCTCAGTCTCTTTTCAGAGGGCTTTGTTTCCAGTCCCTGGATCTTCTTTGTTGCCCT